AGAGCATCCCCTGGAGCACTGGGGGCTGCTGCCCTGCCCAGGTGCCGGCAGCTCCTCGGGCTGTGAAATGTTCCCTTTCTCGCTGCTCTCACTCGTTGTGGCAGCGGAGCTGTGGCAGAGCATCCTTGGGGCCCATTGCAGCTGCTCTGTCCTGGGGATCCCAGCAAGCAGAGCCCCCACTCCCCACCTCTGCATTAATTTTTTAAAACTTGCACTCATTTGTAGGTTATAAATGACTTTTTTTTTGTTATAGTAAACTTCAAGGACAAACAGAACATCTGTGCGTTAGAGGAGTTTGAAATCCACTTTCATAGTCAGCACAACCAGGCTGCGCTCCTGATGGGTCACTGGCAAACTGGGAGGCTCCCAGTTCAGACTGGAGCCCCCTCCCGATGCACAGAGCCCACAGGTGAGTCCAGCCCTGAATTCCTGTCCTGGCCAGGGAGGATCTGCTCCCGGGATCACACCCCCAGTTTGGCTGATGGATTCCTCATTTCACTGAGCTGGGAAAACACTCCCAAGGCCATCAGTGCAGCCTTTGAGCAATCCCCACCTTCCATTTCCACCTCCTCCCCTCATTTCAAACACCCAGGCCAGTGAAAGGCTCTCAAATCTGCCCTGCTCAGAGCAATGTCCCCAAATTTTAAGTGGGAAAAGCAGAGTCCAGCCAAGTTACCTGTACAGAGGGATGGGAACAAGCAGCAGTGATGAGGAGCAGTTTTCCAACTTTTCACCTCAAGAAAAGGCTTTATGAAAAGTCCCTCAAAGCCAGGAGAAGCTGGAAGGGCAGGTCCTAACCTGCTGCAAAACCCCTCTGATAATTACCTGCTAATTACATTCCCCTGGTTCTCATTATTTCATTGTAACAATTCCCAAACATTTTCTTCAATTACTTTCCCAATTTTTTCCATCCTTCAGACAAATTCTGGCAGTTGAACCCGACTACACTTGGGATTGGAAACTGAAGAGGAGCTGCTGAAATCACAGTTCCTACCTGGAAATTAAAAACTGAGAGAAGAAAGACACTGCCCTTAAATATTCTCCAACCAAACCTTCAATAAAATAAATAAAGCAAAAAAAAAGGGGAAAAGGGAAAAAGGGGAAAAGGAAAAGGAAAAGGAAAAAAAATAAACCGAAGGAAAAAAGAAAATAAAATTAAAAAAAAACCAAAACAAACAGAAAAACCAAACCAACAAACAAAACCACCAAACAACAAAAGCCCAAAACCCCAAATCCTTCACTTTGGGTTTTCCTCCAGCCCCTCTGGGGTTCAGGCAGGCTGTGTCCCACTGGAGCTGCCCCAGGGCTGCAACCAGTTTATTTACAGAGTTGGTTTTTATATTTAACCAGGTGTAGGGTGTGTGAGACAGGAGTTTTTAATGATAAAACCACCACAAAATGCCCAGAACGAATGGCTTTTGCTGCTGCTGTATTCATTATGCAGGCAGAGCTGGCCCTAATTAGATAATATGAGATTTCTTGGCTCACACCAAGCAATTCAGAAGAAAGAGCCTCGTTATTGATGGGACAAACCACACAAAGCAATGGAGCAGAGTTTAATAAAGCAGAGAAGTATCAAAGAGAGAAAGGTTTTAATTCTTAATAAGTAGATCCATGGGTTTCATTAACCAGCGTTCAAAGGGGTTTTTTTAGGGTTGCTTTTATTACCTAATTAATTAAAGCCTGACCAATAAGATAGATTAATCCAATGGAATTGCATCTTGCATTAATAGCAATACTAATTAATCACTGAGCTGAAGCATTCCTGTGCACTGAGGAGAAATCATCCCAGGGTGAATCTGAAGAGAAAGAGAAAAGAGAGAAAAGAGAGGGGAAGGATGGGCTGAGCAGGCTTTGGGATTTTGGCTATCATGACCAGTCCAGCTGACAAAGGGCAGGGATAAAGGTAAAATAATGAGTTAAACCCATTTTTAATGGCATTTCTGAGGTGTTAAATGTACTTTCTAACCCCTTCCAGGGATCCATCCTTGCTCTGCCCCGTGCTCCATCTCCCAGGGTGAGCAGGGAGTGAAGAACCAGGATTGAACCACAGGGGATGATCCCAACATCTGTGAGCTCCCACAAACGGCCCGAACTGCAGGGAATCCCCAGTGTGACATCAGACCTCCTGCTCTTCTCCTTATCACACACTCCCAGCCAGGAAAATAAGGGGAAAAAAATAATGAAAGGGGAAAAAAGAAAAAAAAGGGAAGGAAAAGGAAGGGAAGAAAAAAAGGGAGGAAAAATAAGGAAAATAAAAAAAAAATTAAATAAAAAAGGTAAAATCCCCAAACAACCCCAGCTGTGTTGAATCAGGTTTTTCTGCCACCAATGATGGATAATTATCCTGCCTGCTCTCCTCCAGCTCCCCCAGCTCCCAGCTCTGCCGTGCTGCACTCAGCTGCAGGCAGGGAAGCAAAAGGAAAGGAGAGGAATCATTTGCACATAAATATTAAAAAAAGAGAATCTGTATCTCCCATATAATTTGTTTTTTCATTAAGCAGCGTCTGCGAGCACGGGGATATTTGATCTATTAAAAATGCTTATTTAAATACTCCTTCTAGAGTTAATTTTTCCTCCTGAAGGCTGCTGCAAAAGCTCCATCTCCTCTGGAACACAGCAGTGTTTGTTCAGGCCAGAGGTTTGGATTCCACACCGAGCTCTGTGCCAGAACCACGCTGCTGTCACAGCCCAGGATGGTGATCCATGGAGCTTTCCAAGAGCCATTCATGTCAGCAATGACTTAGCCCCAGCAAACATTATAAATAATTAACAGTATGCAGATTGCCATTATTGGAAAGCCCCCAGGCCTTACCCAGCGAGTAATTTCAATTATTCAAAAGTATTAATAAACCGAAATATTCTTTTTTTTTTCCACCCCTCACTTAATTTGTCTGGGTTTTTTGTATTTTAGAGCACCTGCCTCGAGTGGGGAAAAGCCAAGGGAGTTCTCCCTGTGATCTTGCAATGCCAAGGGAATTCTCCCCACTATCTCCAGCTTCCAGAGAGTGTTTCCCACAATCTCCAAATTCCAGGGAGATCTCCCCATGATCCCCAGATTTCAAAGAGTGTTCCCCAAAATCTCTAAACTCCAGGGAGTGCTCCCCACAAT